ATGAAAAACTACTACAGCTGATAAATGGATTTAGTAAAGTAGCAGGATACAAAATAAATATCCAGAAATCAGTTGCATTTCTATACACCAATAATAAACTAGCAGAAACAATCCCATTTACAATTGCTTCAAAAAATATCTAGCAATAAATTTAATGAAGAATATAAAAAACCTGCACTTGAAAATTTATGAGACACTAAATAAAGAAAATAAAGAAGATACAAATAAGTGGAAGCATATACTGTGTTCATAGATAGGAAAAATTAACATCATTAAAGTGCCCATGTTACCAAAAGCAATCTATAGATTGAATACAATTCCTATCAAGATTCCAATGACATAGTGGAATCTTGATAGAACATATCTTTACAGAAATAGAATAAATGCTTCAAAATTTTAGGTGGAATAGTTGGAAGAATCATGTTACCTGATATCAAACTGTACTACAAGTCTATACTAATCAAAAGAGCCTGGTAGTAACATAAGAAGAGACACATGGACCAATGGAACAGAATAGAGAGCCCTGAAGTAAACTCACACCTTTATAGTCAATTAATATTTGACAGAGGAGGCAGGAAGATACAATGGGGTAACAAAATACTAATCAATAAATTGTTGAGAAAACTGGACAAATACATGCAAGAAAAAAGGAAATATACCACCTTATTATACACTATACACAAGAATAAATTCAAAGTGGATTAAAGACTTAAATATTAGACTCAAGACAATAAAAATCTTAAAAAAAATAAGCAGTAAAATCTTGGACATTTCTCATACCAACATTTTTTTTCTGATATATCCCCTCAGGCAAGGTAAACAAAAGATAAAATAAATAAATGGGACTACATCAAACTAAAAAGTTTTTGCACAGGAAAGGAAATCATCAACAAAATGAAAAGAAAATCTATTAAATGGGAGAACTTATACACCAATAATTCAACTCATAAGGGATTAATATCCAAAGTTTATAAAGAACTTATACAACTCAACACCAAAAAAACAAACAATCTAATTAAAAAATGGTCAAAGGACCTGAATAGACACTTCTCCAAAGAGTACATACAGATGGCCCATAGACATATAAAAAGATGCTCAACATCACTAATCATCACAGAAATACAAGTTAAAACCACAATGAGATATCAACTCACATCTGTCAGGCTACCTATCATCAATAAATCAACAAACAACAAGTGTTGGCACAGATGGGGAGAAAAGAGAACCCTCGTGCACTGTTGGTGGGAATGCAGACTTGTGCAGCCACTATGGAAAAGAGTATGGAGTTTCCTCAACATTTAAAAATGGAACTATCTGGAAAGCATTATGCTAAGTAAAGTATGCCAGGCCATGAAAGACAAATACCATATGAACCCATCTATAGTGGAATGTAATCAACAAAACAAACAAGCAAGCAATATAGAACCAGAGGCATGGGAATAAAGAATTGACAGTGACCAGAGGAGTGGCAGGAGGGGCATAATGGGCAAAAGAAGGAGAAAGGTTGCCAAGGAACATGTATAAAAGACCCATGGGCAAAAACAATGGGGAGGTAGGATTGAATGTGGGAGGTGGAGGAGGGTAGGGTGGAGGGGAATAATGGGGAGATATTGAGGACAGTTGTAATTGAACAACAATTAGAAAAAAGGAAAAAAAAAATGGACTGTCTTATGACCCAGCAATATAAATTCTGGGACTATATATACAAAGAAACCCAAAAACATTAATTCAAAAATATATATACATCCTATGTTCTTTGCAGCAGTACTTACAATAGCCAAGATTTGGAAGTAGCCCATGTTTCCATCAGCATATTGGTATATACAAAAGCATGGGTACATTCACACAATGGAATACTACTCAGCCATAAAAAAGAAATCTTACCTTCTGCCACAGCATAGATGGACCTGAAGAGTATTATGCTAAGTGAAATAAGCCAGTCAGAGAAAGACAAACACCATATGATTTCACTTATATGTGAAATCTAATGAACAAAATAAACTAACAAAATATAAACAGACTCAGATTCGGAGGAGAGACTGAGAGCCATTAGAGGGGTGGGGATTAGAGGGCTGCAGGGGGGGGGGGGGGGGGGGGAAGGTGAAGAGATTAAACAAACAAAAGAAACCTAATACAGACAACAGTATGGTGATTAACATAGGGAAAGAGGACTGCAGGGGAGGTAGAAGAGGGTGAGGGGTGAATTTATGATGGTGGAAGGAGATTGGCTTTGGATAGTGAACACACCATACAATATACAGGTGATACATTATAGAATTCTACATCTGAAAGCTATATAATTTTATTAGCCAATGTCACCCCAATAAATTGAATTTTAAAAAGTTCATGAGATGCCATAGATGGTAGTTCAGTTCACAGGGAATAATAGGGATTATTTAATATCTTATGCTACTATAACTAACTGGTTATTCACCTTTAAGAAAATAGTCTTGACCAAGACTGGAAACCGGAACTTACATAATAAAAAACTCATATTTGGATATGAAAAAGTGAAAAAAAATGTGGAAAAAATATACCATTAACAAAGTCAACACATACAGATTTGGGAGAGATTATCTATAACAATGATAGACAAAGAGCCAATAACTAAAATATGCAAAGAGGTGTTACAAATTAAGAAAAATATAAAAACCCATAAAAATGGGCAGATAATATGAACAGATAATTCAAGAAACAAATTTAATTGGACAAAAAAGTATAAGATAATGATGAAATGCATTAGTAATCGAGGAAATTCATCCAGTAAATTGTAAAATTATAAAAGAACTATAACGCCTTATGCTAGTAAGGATATGAAGAATAATCTCATATTTGTGTACAAAAGGTAAAAGTAAATTATAATAGCCTGTTTTTATAAATCAATATGGACAAATATGTCACAAATATATATATACATTATATATAAAATTCACATGTGTGTATGTATGTACATATAAATGTATATAGCACCAGCATATAAGGGAATATGCACAATGATGTTTATTTCAGCATTGATTATAGTGGCAGAAATCTAGAAAGAATGAATGTAAGTGTTCATTACTAGGAGAATGGCTAAATAGGTTGTTGCATCTGTATAAAATATTCTGAACCCTTGTTTTAAAAGAGTAAGATCTGTACCAATAGACTTCAATAGAATTCAATGAGATAGTGTTGATTGAAAGAAGCAAAGTGTATTATATATAAAATTATATATTTGTAAAATAATGAACAAAAACCTGTGTAATTGTGTATGTGTCTATATACACATATGAACATGAAAAAATATGGAAGGATACATATTTGTTTGGTAATATACAAGGATGTCATGGAAAAACAGAGGAGCCAAACAAAACAAGGAAAAGGAAAAAAAGGCAACTGTAAAAAAAAATATAAATCCAGCAGTCATATTTATGTATTTTACATATAAAATGTACCGTATTTTTGCCAAGGATCATGCACATCCACATCTTTGGCCCAAACTTTCAGGGAAAAAATCTTTTGTTTTAATTTTTAATTCAATTATTTACTTATTTATATTTAGAAACAAAACTGATTATTATATTTCAGGGTATTATTTTACATATGGATATCATTATTGCTTTCTAGAGTTCCACTTTTAACACATAAGCATACATAACAAGTAAAAACTTTTATACAGATACAGAATCAGTACTGCCTATATATAATGCACATCCTTATTTTTCCCCTCAATAATTTGGGTGAAAAGAGTGCACATTATACACAGCAAAATATGGTATATATAAAATGAAATAAGTTTTAAAAAGATACAGTAAAAATCCTAAAGAGGATCTCTCCTTATAAAGAAATAAAATAACAAAAATTATCTCTTAACGATAGAATTAAGGGTGATGTTTATTTTCTTCTTTATGTGTCCCTGCGTTTTCTATAATGAGAATTTTACTTTCGTAAAAAAGAAATAAAATGAATATATGTTACTTTGAAAACATCACACTAAAAAACAGAGCTCATTTTGAAAAATCAAGGAAGGAAACAGTGTTAAATACCTCTTGCACTCAGGAGCTGTCCAAGTGGGAGATAACATGAAAACAAGTTCTATTACCCCTCATTCAGCAGAAAGTTACTCACCAAAGCCAAGAGACTGGGTGACTACTGCAAGAAGCTATTTGAAGCAGAAAATATAGTATATTTTCCCATACCTAACACTTTAATGATTTATGTATATCAGAAAGCCATTTACATCACTCTCAATTATCCAAGAATTTCTGGGCTCTTTACTTTTTGTCTGTTCCCCCCGGCCTATGGCCATTTCACTGGTCAGGAAGAGCTCCAAAATGGGGTCAGGGAAGGAGAAAAGAGATGACATTAATTTGGTCAATTTGGCTTCCTATTAGCAACTCTAATGAAAGGCTTAATAAATGAGATGGTCACAACTCATGGTTACAATGATGGTTCCAGGACTCTTAAGAATTTTATTTAAGCAAATGTGCCATCAGCTAAATACAATTTGCCTGAAATTCACTTTAATGGGTTTAATGCTTGCTATTTTTAAGAAAGCCAGGACTTGTAATAAGCTGATACTTTTCTCTCCTCACTTTAAAAGGAAAAAACATAAAACACAAAAACAAAGACCTTCAAAGTGAAGACATATCTTCACTGGAGTGACAGGACCATAAAGAAAAGAATCTTGAGATGAGATAAAATGTCTTGTCCCCAGCTTGCTCTCAAGCAGAAGTTTAAGAAGACAGAAAACTTCCAAGGGAGCAGGCCTTGGTGATAAACCACTACCACAAGGAATAGCTAAAAAGGATTTGTCAGGGCTTGACAAAAGCCAGATCTCCACATACAATAGTTCCCTGTTTCACTGAGACCTCACAGACTTTTGTCCCTTGGGATGCACAGAGACAAAGCAGTGCAGGCCCACAGAATTCACAGCAATGAGCCCATCACCCTAGGTTATCAAACAGACAAAAGTAGTCTGAATAGCAGTGGCAACAGTGTAAAAAACAATTTTCCCTTACTTGAAGATGACGATAGCTCCCGGACATGGAGGGCAGGCCAGGAGAAAAATCTGCAATGGAAAATGAATGAAGCATAAGTATTTAAAAGAAATGCTAGATCCAGTGAGACAATGATACTTTAATAATAATAATAATAATAATAATAATAATAATAACAACAACCAAATTCTAACCCAGAAAATGTAATATAAAAATTAAAAGGCAAGCAGGTAGTTTTCCGAACACGTTTATGTTTGCAAGTGCATCTAAATGTGTATGTCTTGAGTGTGTATGTGTGTGCAATAGGAGGGAGAGGGACAGAGATGGAGAGTAAGGGAAGGAGATGGAGAAACCTTTCTTAGGCCCTCTTAAACTCAGGAACACTTCCTCTTAACCTCTAAAACAAGACTCAATTTTCAACACTTCAATAGGAGACAAGTAGCCAGTCAGATAATCTTTCAACCCAAGACAAATACGAAGAGATTGTGAACATAGAACAAGTATATAGACTTCTGGCAAAGATGGAGGTATAGGTATATACACTCTGCCACCTAGCACAACCAGAAGAAGGACAACAACAAATTTAAAAACAAAAAACAGACTGATAGAAAATCGAACTGTACGGATGTCCGACAACCAAGGTGTAAAGAAGAAACATTCAACCAGACTGCTAAGAGGGGCGGAGACTACAGCCAGATGGAGAGGACCAGTGGCAAGGCAGTGGCTAGCAGAGTGGGCAGTCCCACATTTCCATGCAGATACATCAGGAGGAACAAGTGGTGTGTGAGACAGACCACGCAACCCAGGATTCTAGCGTGGAAATAAAGCCTGAAAACCTCTGACTAAAAAAACCTGTGGGGGTTGAGGTAGCAGGAGAAACTCCCAGCCTCACAGGAGAGTTCCTTAGAGAGACTCACAGGGTCCTAAAATGTACACAAACCCACTCACCTGGGAATCAGCACCAAAAGCATCCAATCTGCTTGTGGGTAGCAGAGGAAGTGCCTAAAAGTCTGCAGAGAGTTGAACAAGCAGCATTGTTCCCTCCTGAATCCCTCCCTCACATGCAGCAAAGTGGGTTGCCCTGCCCTGGTGAACACCTAAGGCTCCACCCCATAACTATGTAACAGGTGTGCCAAGACAAAAAAAATATGGCCCAAATGAGAGAACAGATAAAAGCTCCAGAAAAAATGCAACTAAACAATGAGGAGACAGCCAACCTATCAGATGCACAGTTCAAACTACTGGTAATCAGGATGCTAACAGAAATAATTAAGTGTGGTCACAAAACAGAGGAAAAAGTAAAGGCTATGAAGAGTAAAATAAAGGAAAATACACAGGGAGCCAACAGTGACCAGAAGGAAACCGGAACTCAAATCAACAATTTGGACCACAAGGAAGAAATGAAATATGCAATCAGCACAGAATGAAGAAACAAGAATTCCAAAAAATGAGGAGAGGCTTAGGAACCTCTGGGGCAACCTTAAATGTTCCAACATCTGAATCACAGGGGTGCCAGAAGGAAAAGAGGAAGAGCAAGAAATGGAAAATTTATTTGGAAAAAATTATGAAGGAGAACTTCCCCAATCTGGCAAAGGAAATAGACTTCCAGAAAATCCAGGAAGCTCAGAGAGTCCCAAAGAAGTTGGACCCATGGAGAAACACACCAGGCACATTATAATTACATTACCCAACATGAAAGATAAGGAAAGAATCTTAAAAGCAGCAAGAGAAAAGGAGACAGTTACCTATAAAGGAGTTCCCATAAGACTGTCAGCTGATTTCTCAAAAGGGACCTTATAGACAAGAAGGGGCTGGAAGAAGAATTCAAAGTCATAAAAGGCAAGGACCTACATCCAAGATTACTCTATCCAGCAAAGCTATCATTTAGAATGGAAGGGTAGATAAAGTGCTCCCTGCATAAGTTAAAATTAAAGGAGTTCATCAACAAGTCCTTATCATATTGAAATGTTAAAGGGACTTATCTAAGATAAAGAAGAAGATCAAAACTATGAATAGTAAAATGACAACAAACTCAGGACTTTCAACAACTTTCAATAACCAAGCCTAAAAAAAATTAAAAAATGAAAACAAACTAAGCAAACAACTAGAACAGGAACAGATACACAGAAATGGAGATCACGTGGAGGGTTATCAGCGGGGAGGGGGAGGGGAAAGAATAGGGAAAGCACAGGGAATAAGTAGCAGAAATGGTAGGCACAAAATAGACAGGGGGAGGTTAAGAATAGTATGGGAAATGGAGAAGCCAAAGAACTTACATGTATGACCCATAGACATGAACTAAGGTGGAGGAATGATGGTGGGAGAGGTATACAGGTGGTGGAGGAAAATGATGGTGGAGGGAAATAAAGGGGATAAAAATGGGACAACTATAATAACATAATCAATGAAATAAAATATATTTTAAATAAAAGAACAAGTACACAAATGTCATCTGGTTTGCCTCCTATGGGGATTGTGAGTTAATTAATACCCAGCACTCAGATTTAGCAAATAAAAATGCCAGATACCCAGTTAAACATGAACTTCATATAAACAAAGAATAATGTTTTAGTATATTTATGTTATATGCAATATTTAGGATATATTTATATTAGAACATTATTCAATGCTTAGCTAAAATTAACGTTTAACTAGTCATCCCGTATTTTATCTGGCAGCCCAATATTGTCACTCCTAGGCTCTCTACTTCCCTTTGATTTTGAAAGGGAGCAAAAATCTGTCTCTTTGGCCTACGGATTATATTAGGCTGACTATTTTTAAGAAACAGCAGACACAGGAAAAGCTCTGAAAACTGAGTAGAAGTTATCCTTTTGTAAGGGACATTTACACTAATAAAGGAAACTCCACTTGTATGGGTGTTTCCCTCTGAGCACCAGGAAGAGAAGGATGACTAAATCTCTAGCAGCTCTTCCATGTAGAAGGCAAGGACTTAATTAAATCTGTGTAACAACTTTACTGTTATTTATTGTGCTTTTTCTTGGTCATCTCCCAAAACTCACCCCTCCCTCCCCAACTTCTTCCTTTATCTTTAGCTGGAGATGGTATTTAAAGAGATGGCTTAGACCATTTCAAGGAGTTACTCTGTTCCAATGTGTCTCTCCCATGTACAGCAGAGGTATATATTTTATTCAACACCTATTTGTTTTTCTTTTGTAAATATATCTTTTATAACAAGGGCATCTCAGGCAAAAACCTAGAAGGGTAGAAAGAAAATTATTTTTCCTCCCCCATACTGAATTGGTTTGTTTCTAAGCATGACTGAGTAGTTTTTTCCTTCTATTCTCCATCCAGGTCAAACCAAACAAAAAGAACTTTGTCCTAAGAGACAAATCAGTCCAGTGCTACTTCACTTGATCTAAGCCTGGATTACAGCCTTCAGAGCTGTAGCAGGTTGACCTTTGCTCAAGTGCTGGTTCTCCAGAGGGACAAAGAAATGTCTGCAGATCACTTATTAAACATGAGAATTGCTGGGCTCCTCCATTACATATGCTGATTCCAGAAGTTTGAGACTTCAGGAAACTGCACATTTAATACCCAGGACATTCAACCACTCCTAGCAGCCAGATAATGCTGAATGTTTGACCTTGGCCTGAAGTCAGACATTCAGCGGGACTAAGGACTGATAAAAAATGAATGCATGTTTTTGGAGTTCTTTCACCTACAGTGACTTAATGGTGTAGTTTACAATATAATCAATATATGTCCCTATCTTGTGAGCATTTATTAATACAGATTATCCGCCTTACAGATTTGTTTGGCTTTGTCATATGTATATTCTTTAGCATTTGCTTCTTTAGTTCCCTCAGAGTACACATTTGGAAGGAAAGGATACTATAAGGAAAAACCATATAAAAAAAGACACCCACTTGAATCCCTGCAAAGAAGACAAAAGAATATGAAACAAACACAGGCAGGAGCCCATCACCTGCACAATACCTCATCAGAGAACCCTCCAAGGAAATATCCATTGAGAATGTGCCTTTCCCTCTGTGGATCAATTTGATTAAAGGTAAAAAACTAATGACGATTACAGGTCCACAATCCTTTATAGGCAATCACCAAATCAGAAAAGCTCTCAGAGTCAGTTTTTTTCAAAGCTAATTTGGTAGGAAAATATGACTTGAACTGAGCTGAGACAATTAACAGACTTAGTTTAACACACTTTTGGTGACCATGCATTTTTCCATAAAAAATAATGTATTTTGATTATGGGGTGCTACCTCAAATCCCACTGACAGTATATGTACAATACTCTACATGCACTATATTGCCTTTCTAACATTCAAAAATTTTGACTTATGAAATACATATGACCTTAGTGGTTTGTGATAAGGATTGTTGACTTGGAATTCATTCATTCAACATGAACTTATCCCCATTCCAACTCTTGGGGGCAGTCCAAGAAAGAACAAAACAAAGCTACTATTCTTTACCACCAACCCAGAAATAAAGTTACTCACCTTAGTTAAGGGACCAAATTAGAGGCTTCGCATAGTTACCCAGCATCTGGCCCATCACAGGCTACACTCAGAAGCTACAGTATACAGAACAGAGACGGGCACCCAACCACCTTGGAAAGGTCCTCAGTACTTCTGGAGTCTGCTAAGAGCTATGCCAACAGCCTTCCTGAGTTTTTCACAGTATCCATGATACTTCTAACATGCTAAACAAAAAATCAAAATATACCACTGGATCCAACATTTAACTCTTAATTTTCTACACTCACAGCCAAAAAGAGAGGAGTAGATTCTTAGGGACAGATTTACCTATAGATGCTAGATTTAGCTGGTTCTCATCCATGACGGCACTATGCCAGAAGCCCACAAACGTACTAAAGGGAGGAAGCCTCGCATTTCAACCCAATAGGGTGTCATGTTATTTTCAATTCAATCATGGATCTAAATTCTTTTGAGGAAATTAATCTACTCTTGACTCTAAGTTAGTTTTCTAACAGTTGACTTTCATGTGGTCACATCATTCTAATAGAGCAGGCAGTTAGGCTCCAGCAGAGCAGGAACCATAGACCAGGTATGGAATGTCACCAGAGCAG